TCAAAGAAGAGCTTTGAAAATTATTTTACCAGAACTTAGCTATAACGATGCACGCGAACTTATTAATATTCCATCCTTGAAGGAACGACGTGAGATTTTATGCGAACAGTTCTTTTTGAGAGATGAGAACCTTCAAAAATTGGATGAATTTTTACCTATTAAATCCTCTTCGGTCTATGATACGAGGGGAAATTGTAAATATAATAATTATTATTGTAAAACAGAACGTTTTAGAAAATCCTTCTTACCACAAATTATTTCGAAATTAAATTGTAAATAGTAGTTTACTCCTTTATATTTAATTATTTGTAGTATAGCTGATGTAATTTAACCTTCGGTTACAAAATCAGTAAATATATTTAATAATAATAATAATCACAGCATTATTATCATGATCACCATCATTATTTTTACAAACACTTACTTAAGATTTTCGTTTCTACAGCAATTAAAACAAACTTCGAGATAGTGGAAACAAGAAGTATCACGGAAACTAACATGTATCTGGTGATCAAAGCTCGCATACCCAGCCATGGAGAGTCGCTTACTGAAAACTGGTGCAGAGATTATCTAAATTTATGTTCAAAGGATAGAAGAGATCCAACAGGGTTTGGACGTTCATACAATCACATTAGAGAATATGCAAGTTGTCAAGAAAAATACCAGTCAGTCATGGATCGAGCAAATGTCCTTGGTGTATACCCAAATGAAAAAGTTGCAGCCTTAGCGCAACAAGTTGGTTTTACCGACGCAAGATCAAATAATTCATTTGCATTTAATGCGTGTGATGGTCGTAAGTGTTCACGTATTTTACCAGCGTCTGGTTGTGACGAAGCATTGTCATGTATCAGTACATCTGTCCCAAATCGTGTGGTGTACACAGTCTGTATCAAGCCTGATTCACATTACCATGTTGTTGAAACGAAATGGAGTATCGTCAATGGTGTCAGATTATTAGTGTTGAATGTCAAACCCAATACTGCATATTCTAAACATGCTACGTGGTGTACAGATTATGAAGTCCTTTGTGACCGCTATGGCCTGAGAACTCTTGGTACGAACAGAAACGATGGTTGTGTTGAAAAGTATGGTGCTATCATACATGAAAACGTCCAAGTTTCACAAGTTAGAAATGTCCTGGGCGTGAGCAGCGGATTCCTCTTTAAGGATTGTTCTGCATGCGCTAGTTATAGTTACGATTCCGCTACTTATAATGCGTTACACTATTTTAAATATTATTCTAGTTATTTTGGAACTGCGTGCACAGAACCTCAAGGAATTGGCTTCAAGGTTTTGGATGATCAAAAACTGGCCGGCTACAGTGGCAAAGATTATATGGCGATCAAACTACAAGTTCCTTTGAACGGCAAATCAAATGATACGAATTGGTGTAAAGATTATCAACTGCTCTGTCGATCATACAATATGGCACCACTTGGATGTGGTAAATGTGTCTCTAAATACAGCTCATCTTTTACTACCTGCCCTATGTCTGGTAACGAAATTGAACAAATTCTTCATGCTGCTGGATTCTCGCATGCAACGTCATCAAACACATTCATCTATCAATCATGTACTGCTTGCTCTAACCAGGTTCTTGAGAACGAATGTCAAAATGAAGACCTATTTTGTATTGATCAAGATAACCGTTATCGTGTCTTTTATACGGTTTGTGTGAAAGGTGAAACGACACGGCCGACAGAAGGTATTTTAAAAGTGAGAGAATCTCGATCTATTGTCTTTCAATCTTTACCTTACAAAATCCTCAAACTCTACGATCTACCAGCAGACGGTCAACCATTGCTAAGTAACTGGTGCGAGGAGTACCAGACGTTGTGCAAGAGTGTTGGTGGCCAACCAGTGGGCTGTGGGACTTCTTATCTCTCTGACCCAGATATCGCTACATGTGCTAGTAATTATGGATCAGTGACGGATAATAATGGTCTTTTATGTGGTGATAACAGTGTACTTGTTGATATGGTGTACAAAGCTGGTTTCTATGGTTCATCGAAAAATACGTTCATGTTTCATAATTGTTCTGCTGAAGCTTGTTCTACAACACTGACTTACGGGTGTAGTGTTAACTGTAGTTGTCATCCAGCACTAGGCTGTCTTCATAATACAATGAGTCGATATTCCCGTCAGTCATATGCTATATGTAGTGTGTATTCCAGCGCTTTCCAGGTTATGGAAACCAAAGACAGTACATACGAAGGACACGAAGTACTGGTGGTTAAAGCACAGATCCCGAGCAACGGTGTGGCGTTGTTGGAGAACTGGTGCGAGGATTATAAAATGATGTGTTATTACTATGGTTACAGACCAACTGGATGTGGCATTGACTATGCTGAAGACATCAATTATGCATCGTGCAGATATGACTATCAGTCAGTCATGCCAACAGACAATGTTTATGGATGTCCTGCAACGGTTAAAATTGCATTGATTGCCAAAGCTGCCGGTTTTCTCAGTGCTACAGCAAGCAATTCTTTCGGTTTTTCAGATTGTAAAGCAACTTGTGTTTCCACTTTAACAGTAGGTGGCCCTTTCATTGATCTTTCTGTTGCTGATGGCATAGTGTATACAATCTGTGCAACTTCAAACAGCCACTTTAAGGTAGTGTCGAGTAAAAAGAGTGTTTATAAAGGCGGGGAATATCTGTTAGTTCAGGCATTGCTACCCCATGATCTCATATCGAAACATGACTCGTGGTGCAGAGATTATCAACTTATGTGTAAATCATTTGGCCTGAAACCCGTTGCTAAAAGTGGCCACGAAACTGACAAAGATTACGCTACATGCAGAAAACATTATTGGTCTATCAATACAAAATTACAAGAAGCAACTGATCCAGGTTCAATTGAAACGTTTGGGGAAGCTTTTCTTGGTTATTCACAGATGGGTTATGGTAATACCTTTATTTTTGGAAAAAATTGTGACACAGATTGTTTTCTTGATATGAATGAATACAAATCCCGATACTCACTTGAAGAAATCCGAGGAAGCAGTCTTCCTGATTATGAATATAACGTATTTACTGTATGTGCATCTTCTGACAGCAATTTCCATGTCCTATCCAAGAAAAAAATCACTTATCAACAAGAAGATTATCTTGTCATAATGGCAACATTACCATCACATCGTGAGTCAAAATACGAGAATTGGTGCCGAGATTATGAGAGACTTTGTCGAAGTTTTAGAAAGAGACCAACTGGCTGCGGTCTTTCATATCAGTGGTCTTCCAAATATCGAGCATGCGTAGATGAGTATCAATCTGCGATGGCCGAGAACGATCCTGTGGGATGCAACTCGAGTGAAACTGTAGCAAACATAGCTAACATGGCGGGCTATATTTTTGCAAATCAGAGCAACTCGTTCGCATTTCATCAGTGTTCAAACGAATGTCCAAAAAAATTGACCGATTCTTGTCCTGACTCGTTACCATGCCTCAGCAATCGCTCGGACATAGTTTACACTGTATGTACAGATTCTTCGAGTGCTTTTGAAGTTGAGCGTGTGGTGCACACACGGGAAGAGAATGTACCTTTGCTTTTCATTACAGCAACTTTGAATGGCGTGGTTGATGCCAAATCAGGGGATTGGTGTAGAGATTATCAGAAACTATGTGCATCATATGCTGCTAGACCTGTCGGGTGTTATTCTGATAAAGAAAATGATCGTAGTGCATGTACCACTGATTATAACGCAATACCAATACAGAGTGATGTACATCGCTGTGGTGAGGATGGTGTGGAAGATGTAGAGCGTAGCAGAAGAATAACCCCTAATTCTCCAGCTGGCGAATCGTTCAAGTATCATAAATGTAAAAGTTCCAAATGTAAAAAAAGTTTATCTGATACATGCAATGAGGCTCTAAACTGCTTGAAGGAAAGCGAGTGGGTGTACACGACCTGTTCACGTGCCTCACATAACTTTGAAATAATCGAAACTGAGTCGACATCTCATGAAGACCTGAAAGATATTCTCATAATTCACGCCAATATCCCGATGGATGGGCGATCTCTTTACGATAGCTGGTGCGAAGATTACACGAAGATGTGTTCGGTGTATGGTAAAGTTCCTTTAGCTTGTCCTTTACGTCCAGATTATACTGCTGAGTCAGCATATCGTGCGTGTAGTAAAGATTACAATGGCCATATGATGGAAGCTGACGAAAATTCAACATTGTCTTGTCCTTTGAATGATTTTATTTCTGGCATTGCTCAAGAAGCAGGCTTTAATCAAGCTTCCTCCACCAACACATTAAGTCTTACTACATGTCTGTCTTGCTCAAAAACATTGCAAATTGTTAATAATGGATCATACATCTCCATGAGTTGTCCGCCAAGTGGTGTGTGTACTCCGTGGCAAGGTACTCCATTGAACAGAGATGTCTATATGTTATGTGTAAAACCACAACAAGTCTCCTCATTCCATATTGATGAAATAAGACATATTAAAAACAGAGACAGGAAATACGCTGTAGTACGCGTTTCTTTACCTTACGGAACAACATCTTTGTTTAATGATTGGTGTAGTGATTATCAGAAAGTTTGCGAATCTCTCTCCATGAGACCCATAGCTTGTGGACTAAACTCTGAGCGATTGACAAGTCGAAGATTATGTCGAAAAAAATACAATGCTGTGATGCCTCGTGAGTTTGATTGCCCGAATTATGAGTTAATGGCTGATATTGCCCGCGCTGCAGGTTTTAATTATGATGAATATAGAGTATTTTCTTTAAATGATTGTAATAAATGTGGGGCAGAAATCAGCAGAGAAGGCTTAGACAGAATTACAACTACGGATGGCTTCTTCTATACTGCATGTACATACTCAGATAGCAATTTTGAAGAACTACAAACACGAGATGTCGTCATGAATGATAAATCATACCTTGTTGTGAAAGCTCAGTTGCCTGTCGATATGATTTCCTCCCATGAAACGTGGTGTAAGGATTATGAAATGATGTGTGAATCTTATGGAAAAAAACCGCTGACATGTTCAGATCTTGCTGATCTTCAGTCGAGTTACAACGCGTTATTACTAGACCATAACTGTGACTCACTGTCAAGTATACCACAACAGGCTGGATTTGCAGATGCAACAGAAGACAATACGTTTGTTTTCAAGTCTTATAGTAAAGATAAATGTTCCAAAAACTTCCCTACCACGAACGGTCCGTTTGGAAGACTGAACTCCAGTGTTCCACACCGTCAAATATATACAGTATGTCTTAATTCAGCAACAGCGTTTGAAGTTCTAGCGAGAAGATTGTTTAAAGCATCTAATAGTAGGACTTATTTATTCCTTCAAGTTACAATGCCAGAGAACGGGAGAGCAAATTATGCTAGCTGGTGTCATGATTATACCCAACTGTGTGGAGAATATGGTAAAAGACCTGTCACCTGTGTAAACTATGATTGTAGAACATCGCATGGCGCAATTCATCTTACAGAACATGTTTGTCCTCTTGAGAACATGCTTTCGTTTGCAGAGAATGCAGGAATACACATAAGTACACATGAAACAAACTTTCTATTCTCTTTTAACTGCATCTCAAGCAAATGTAAGAAAGTTGTGGAAACTCGAAATTGTACTGCAAGAGGCAAGAAAATACCGCATTGTTTTGATCGTGATGTGAACGATGCAGAATTCACTACTGTATGTGCGACACCAGCAGATAGAACAAGATTCCCGACTCTTGACGTAAAATACGTGAAGTATTCAGGAAGACCTTATACAGTCATCCGTACACAAAAGACACATCAAGATTCATTGCAAAAAAATTGGTGCTATGATTATAAACAACTCTGTCTATCATTCCTCCAGAGACCTCTCGCTTGTCCGACAAAGTATAACACTGATCCAGATCTACATTTATGCCAACGCACTTACAGTGCCATTTCAATGGAAAGCAACGAACAAGGATGTCCTATGAATAAGTTTGTAGCTGAGTTAGCAAGACATGCTGGCTTCCCACGAGCAACTCCGCAAAATTCATTCGCATTCCAAAAATGTGGTGGTGGTCATTGTAGCAAACAATTACCAACAAGTGAGTGTAGTGAGGCGTTGTACTGCGTGAATATGGGAGGTGATCAAGAAGATTTATATACAGCATGTACTGATTCAGATAGTGCTTTTAATGTTCTTAGTTACAAATATAATATAAACTACAACTCTGTCAGTTATGGTGTGATAAAAGTGTCTGTCTGGGAAGGCTATCAATCAGCTCACGAAGACTGGTGTAAGGATTATCAAAGATTATGTGAATCTCACAATATGGAAGCCGTGCAATGTAAGAGGTCTGGACTCGAAATTCCGTCAGATATATGTAGTAATAATTACGGTGCTCATGAGAGACTACAGTCATGTGCAGCAGATGCAAAGAACATCGCGACCAAGGCTAACATTGGTCACGTTGCTGACAAGATGGCATTGATAATGAGCGGTTGTAGATCTTGTCCAACTGTTGTCACTAAATCTTGTTCTTCTGCACTGAACTGTTTACGTTCAAGTATATTATATGCTGTATGCGCCGTGCAAAAAACGGTCCACGCTTTCGAACCTATACAAACACGGTTTGTAAACTATGGTAATAGAGCATACCTTCTTATTCAAAGTCACATCCGTGAAAGATATGCAAACAGTTTCAAGAGTAACTACGACACGCTTTGTAGGTCTATATATGGTTACAAACCTATAGGATGTGGTAGGACGGCGCGGCATTCCTCAAGCAGCAATAATGTATGTTATCAACAATACACAAACTCGTTGTCGCATCAAGGAGATGATTTTACTTGTCCACCAGCAAAGACGATCTCATATCTTGCAAAGAAATATGGATTTTACCAAGCGGAATACGTAAATACTTTTGCGTTTTATCAATGCTCGGCATATGCTTCATATAGTTCGTACTACGGAGGTTATAAAATATCTACCTCTAGTTGTTACAACCGACTTTGGTGTTTGAGTTATAACCAGTATCATCGACTTTATTACACCATGTGTGGCATTCCTTTACCTTCCAAATCTCTTGGTTTTCATGTGCTGGATAAAAAAGAATTCTTGTTTCTTGGAATAAAATATGTCGCTTTCAAATTATCAATAGGTAAAATTATCATGCTCTATTGTACTCTGTTTACACTATCAAAGTTTCTGTGATCACAGTTGAAATTTTGCATAAGTAAATTCTAAGTTTAGAAGAATTTGTAAGAAATGTTTGAGGAAACACAGGAACTTTGATAGTGTAAACGTCTTTATGCTGCGTTTGTTGCGCTGTTGTGTTCTAGTTAACAAATAGATAAGATTTTGCCGCAGTCTGTTCAGTTTATAGATACACATATGACGTCATAATGTGCAAAGAAAAAGTGGCGCCGAGGCGAGTTGGTCTTTTTTTTGTTCTTTCCACATTGTGACGTCATATTGTGTATTTATAACTGAACACACAACGGCAAAATCTAATCTATTTGTTTTATATAATAAAAAGAAAACCCCCGAATTAAACAGGTAAATAGCTTACTTTTTATCAACCCAAACATTTGGAAATTTGAGAAAGTCGAAATTTTACAAATATCACGTGTACATGATCTCTACAAATAAGAGAATGCTATTGGCTACCGTAAGTCACGTGCTGTGTCGTGATTGGTTGCACAGAAAAAAGAATTTTGTGTAACGTAATTCCGTGCGTCTGTCCTCTAATAGATCATGGCTCTCGACCAATAAAAACGCTTGAATTGTTAACATTTTATATAATTTATTGTATCGTGTTGTGTTGTGTTGTGTTGTGTTGTGTTGTGTTGTGTTGTGTTGTGTTGTGTTGTGTTGTGTTGTGTCGTGATGAAAACATCATTATGAACGTTCAGATTTGACTTCAACTACCGCTAACTCTACTCACTGGTCTAGTGCGCATGTCATGTGGTAATCTGGTAGATCAGACACATCTGATTGGTTAGTGGTGGTGTATATCAAATCTGATCTATTGTTTAGTTTACATAAAAGTTGTAACAGTACAATTATGTTCGGATTCAAATAATCAATTTAAGTTATATTCCGCAGGCAGCTCGGGTGACTCTGCAACAGATAATTGGTGTTTTGATTATCGTGAATTATGTCGAAGATACAACATGGTTCCAACAGGATGTGGCAGTAAAAAGAAAAATAATCCTGGTTATTTCAAGTGTAATTCAATATATAGATCATTTATGTCTCATAGGGACTCTGTGGGTTGTGGTAAGACATCTGTTCCTTCATCTCTCGTGCGCCGTGCAGGCTTCCCTGATGCAGTCAAAGAAAATACATTTGTATTTAATGACTGTAGTCAGTGTGCTAGGAGGTTACAACCCACAACCTGTGATCCTGCCCTCAACTGTCTGCATTCCGAGGTATTTAATACGCATGCGTACACATTGTGCGTGGAACGGAAGTCTGGGTTTGAATATATTGCTAAGAAGAAAACAATTTATGGTGGAGTTGAATATTTAGTTGTGAAAAGTGCACTTCCTGTTGACAACAGACCGCTATATGATAACTGGTGTGTGGACTATCAGAAATTATGTTATTCTGTTGGCGCCTTTCCTGTGGCGTGTTCTCTCGGCTCAGGTGTACAGGATTTACGCAGGTAATATAACACTAGGGAACACTAGGGGCTTTGGTGGCGTAATCGTCACAGCAGGCGCCTTTCACCTCTGAGATCGTGGGTTCGACTCTCACATTGGACTGATGACACTCATGTGAAAAGAGTCAGTCAACGCTCCGCCGAAAGTCGTGGGTGGGTTGGGATTAGTATAGGTAATCATGCGAGTGATGTTTGGAAATTTTGCCAAAATTGGACGAGCCGCCGGGGCGAGTCCAATTTGGCAAATTTCCAAACATCACGAGTACTATTAATCCCTAATTGTACGAGCAACATCGCATGATTACTTGTTTATTATTAGCATGACAAAACTGAATACGTACTTCTCAATGTCAACATCATATTCTCTCGCCAAAGCCCAGTTTTGCCCGACTTTCAACCAAAATTTGGTGTTTTTGTTTGTATTTTCATTTAGTTCTTTTGTTCAAGCAAAATTTGGTGCTTTTGTTCGTATTTTCATCTAGTTCCTTCACGGCAATTTCATTTCACATCTGTGTTTAAAATCCCTTTCCGCCATTTTGTTTGTTTTGGGAAAATCGTTAATTGTACTGCAGTACAATTAATGAAATAATTGTACTCCTCTCAACCAATCAGCATCCAGTAATTTTGTCATGCTAATAATAAGCCCCCTAACTGACCTTCCCACCGTAGCTGTGCTCCGTGATCAGACATGAGTCATAAGGTGCTCCAAGATGTCTAAGCATTCGACTGGATCAGGTTGCGTCCTTCGTAATTCAGTTTAGCTCTCAGCTGCTATGATTAGCACACCCCCACTCACTTTAACAAACAATGAGCTGTATAATAAAATCAAGCTGTAAAGACTCTCATGGACGTTTAAAATATTACCGGTGGTATCAACGATACCGGGCTGATTTTTTTGTTCATAAATCATTAAACTTTTGAAAACAGTAATATATTTTGTGTTCTTAAAATGATTTTCTTGTTTTCAGATTTGCTGAGAAATATGGAGCTATAACCGTGGATAGCATTCCATGTCCTCCTATTGCTAAAGTCCTTGCTATTGTTAAGAAAGCTGGTTACTCCACAGCAAAAGCTGGTAATTCATTTGCATTCACTGGTTACTCGAGTCACGAATGTTCGAAAAATCTTCCCACACAATTCTGTACCCCCGGTTTGGATTGTCTGAACAGTCAATCCCGGGAGGTGTTCGCAGTCTGTATAAATCCCACCAACTTTGCTGTGTCAGATGTCCGCACGAGCCGACATTCTGAAAACACATTCACAGTCATTCAAGCTACATTGCCTGCTTCTGGGTTGTCTAAAACCTCGACATGGTGTGAGGAATATGCAACATTATGTCGCTCTATGAAACAACAACCTGTGGTGTGTCCAGGCTACGCAGATCCTACCCAGTACGAGAAATGTGGTGATAGTTACGATGGATATTTATTGTTTGATAAATACGACTGCAATACAGAACACAAACGTTTACAGGAAATTCCTCATTTGGCTGGATTCGCCGAAGCAAACTTCGCGAACACATTCGGTTTTGCTTCATGCGCGTCGTGTCAACGTGAACTATACAATGGCCCTGAATGTGATCCTTCATTAAGTTGTATTAACAATAAAACTGCGGACAAACAGGTGTTTGCTCTGTGTATGAAAGATGGAAAGGACACGAACTTCAACGTTCTTGCGACTAAAGAAATTGTGACGTCAGAGGTGCAATATCAAGTCGTCATGGCAACAATATCGCCATTTGGAAGATCAAAATATGATACTTGGTGTACGGATTATGAAAGGTTGTGCTCTTCACTAGAAATGAGACCTGTTCGATGTTCTTCGGATGGAAATACTTGTCCTTTGTTGTATAAAGCCTTAGTTTCATCACAAGAACAATTTGATTGTAATAATAACTCGGCGCTTGTTAAGTTTATTCATAACGCTGGATTCTCTCAAGCTTCCCAGGAGAACACGTTCATCTACAGCGCATGCTCCACGTCTGAGAATTGTCGTAAAACATTGTTGCCTGATCAATGTGATGGTTCTATGAATTGCCTGAAGAAAGCCTCTGGTGCTAGCATTGTTTTCACTTTATGTGCGCGTGGCCGCCATACGAACTTCAAATACCTTCATTCATATACACATCTTCACAATGAGGTGAGATATTTCGTTATCATGGCTGGGGTATTTTCTGATGAATCAAAGAGTGTCAATTGGTGCTATGATTATCGAGATATGTGCGTGTCATTTGGCAAACAACCAGTCGTGTTAGGGTCTTTTGGCGAGCACTTTAATGGAGACAGAAATCAATGTTTTGGAGCATATGACGCAACATCTACCGTGGAATATATCAGTACCTATAACGTGGCCATGAAAGAAATTCCTAACACGCAATTTACGCATTGTCGTGTCATATATAAATATTGTAAGAGTTGTGGTAAGACGTTTGTTCATTGTCCATTTGATTCTTGTGGATGTGATGTTTATTCTCTTTTCTGTCTTTAAATCAACAAACGCAAAGTTTCTGTTAGGAATTTAAACAGTATTCTAAACGACGAACGAAAGTTTTAATTATGAAAGGTAAAATGTCGCGTTAAACCCAAAATTTCTTATTACCTACAGCGGAGTAGTACTCCTGTACTAATGCTAAAGGTTACTGTGAAAAACAAGTTGTTTTTTTATCAAAAACTATCTTCATAGATAGTTATAATAATTTTATAGCAGCCTAATTGCAAACGCGACATAGCCTTTGTAATTGTATTATGCACGAATATTAATTGATGATATCATAATGTATAATAAATAATAATGTATAACAATGATAACAATGATAATAATGATATATAATAATTTATAAGTCTCCCAGGGGTATGTGTTTCTGTGTTATTTTGGAAATCTTTCCTTTGCTACCAACAAAGACCATGTTCCCTTGTTCTCTTTTTGGCTTTGTTCCCATGTTCCATTGCAAAATATTCCCCGAGAAACCCCTGGGAGAACGATCAATAATGTAAAATAATAACATAATATTAAGTAATGTATAATAATAATATATAATTATATAATAATAATGTATAATAATAGTAAGACGTATTAAATTCAGTGCCTTTTTTAACTATATATCTGGGGGGCAATTGCCCCCCCCCCCAGGGAAAGAATTCCCCCCCC